TGCCAGTCCTGCCAGCTTTTCATCAACGTGCCTGTGGAAGCGGCCTCCGTAGACTATCACGTGTCCCTGGCCCAGACGGCACTACAGGTCTGCCTGGTTCACCCCGAGCTGCAGAGTGAGATCTACTGCCAACTGATGAAGCAGACCAGCTGCCGCCCACCTCAGAAGTACTCCCTCATGCAGGTGGGCATCCTGGGGCAAAACAGCTGACGGGGCCATTGGCAGGGACTTCTCAGGAGCCGGGAAGGGGGAAGGAGGAAGGAGGGAATGGAGCAGGTACCCTCTAGGCCTGGTGGCCAACGGGCAGCCTCAGTGCTCAAAGCTGCCTCAGTACACCTGCCTTCTCTGTGCCCCTTCTGGATGTCTGTGCATAGTCAGATTGGGTGACTGCCGTTCTGGACAAAGCCTGACCAGGATGGGCCATCCTGCCGTCCACAGAAGGTGGGGGGCCCTGGTTTGGAGAGCACTGAAGCCTTGGTAGCTCAGGACTGTGAGGGCGGGCATTGCCGCAGACCCAGCACTCACCCCATTCTGCTTGTTCCCTGGCAGTGCTGGCAGCTCCTGGCTCTGTGTGCCCCACTTTTCCTGCCTCAGCACCACTTCCTCTGGTACATCAAACAGCAGCTCCAGCGCCATGCAGATCCCACGTGAGTGAGGGTCCTTTCCTATGCCACTCTAGCACTGCTGACGGTGGCATGGCGAAGAGGGACGGGGGGACCAAGATGGGTCAAATCACCCTGCCCCTGTGGTTTGCACAGGGGTTATGGAGACACGGAGACCTCAGTGCTGTGTGCACAGATGGGCATGTGGAGGCCTGGGCCGCTCTGCACACCAGTCTGTGTATGTGTGTTTTGTGGATGTGCTCACGTGAAGCTCTGGTGTCCCCAAGTCATCCCCACATTTTCGTGGTCTGTTGCCATGTTTTTCTGGCTTCCAGAGGAAATATCTCTGCCAGCAATTTGCAGCATATAGGCCCTGAATGACAAATTAACACCCCAGACCAGAGCGTCACGTTTTTCACAGCCTGCCCAGCTGCGGATTCGGCCTCGGCTAGGTCAGGGTAGGCAGCCAAGGTGTCAAGACGGCAGGGGTGAATGAATTCCCTGGGATTCTCTTCTTTCTTCCCTGTCTTTTTAGAAATGAAACTGGCCAGTATGCCACCTACTGCCAGCGGGCAGTGGAGCGGACTCTACAGGTGGGGGAGCGGGAGGCCAGGCCGTCACGCATGGAAGTGGTGTCCATCCTGCTGCGCAACCCCTTCCACCACTCCTTGCCCTTCAGCATCCCCGTGCACTTCGCCAATGGGACTTACCAGGTGAGGAGGCCGCGCGGGATCCCTCTCCTGAGTCTTCTCATATCACTGGCCCAGAGACTATCTTTGGGCCAGGTGGGTGTTAAACCTCCTTAGGCTTGGCAGACTCTTAATAATAGGCAAACCAGCAGGATGGGCCTGGGGTGTGGAGGTGGGGGTGGGACCGTTACTGCCTGTGTGGAGGGGGAAAGGAGCTTGAACTCCAAAAGTGCTCTGCTGTTTGGCACCTGGGAAGTAGATCTTTAGAAACCACTGCACGAACGGGGAAGCCGAGACATTGACCAAGAAAGGGGCAGAACAAAAGACCTGCAAAAGAGCAGCAGTCAAGGAGCAGCAGAGCTTCTGTCTGCCTCCAGCTTATAGCGGGCCGCTTGTCTCTGAAGCACTCACCCTCTGTGTGTGACTATGGAAACCAGCTTCCTTTAGCTTTTGCATTTGCCCTTGCTCCTCTCAGCCAAGCCTTTCCACCTCCCAGAGACACACGTCCGACACTAGCCGGAATGAGTTCCTCTCGGGAAATTTCCTCTGGGACTAACACCTCTCTCGTGCAGGTGGTTGGTTTTGACGGCTCCTCCACAGTTGATGAGTTCCTCCAGCGTCTGAACCAAGAGACGGGCATGAGGAAGTCATCCCACTCTGGCTTTGCCCTCTTCACAGATGACCCTTCTGGCAGGGACCTGGAACACTGCCTGCAGGGGAGCATCAAGGTGATGATGGTCTCCCCGTAAGCCAAATGAGCCCCTCCTGGGAGACCTCCAGGTTTCTGGGTTTTGGTGATGGGGAGAGAACCCCCTGGCTGGTGCCTTACTGTCCCCCAGCCTGTTGGGTCTGGAGTCCAAGGTGCTCCCCCAAGCCAGCATTTTTGTGGCATCCTAAAACATACCCGTACAGGCAGAGAGAAGTTGTTTGTGCCCTTGTCTCCACACTGCTCCCGCCCTTGAAGGGCTGTGCAGTGTCCAGAGGAAAAGCTGCTTCTCAGCGTGGTGTAGGAAGAATAGGGAGGCACTTGTCAGCAGCAGCTCCAACCGGGGCTGCTGCCAGTCACACAATCCACACACGGAGGTGGGTAGCTGTACACCTAGGTCCACTGGATGTGGTGCTGTTCCCTGGCCCCTCAATCTTTCCATCTGCCAGGGCCTGCACTTACTGGTTCAAGCAAATTGTAAGCAGGTAGATCTATATGGTACCTCTACAAGTAAAGGACCCTTGAATGGGATTTCAGACCTATCTTGTCTGGGATTAGCAGACAAGATGTGAAGTGTTTGTGGGAACGTATTGTAGCATTGATGAGTAGGAGTGTTTTGGTTCTGTGTCTGCTCTTTTTATGGCAATAGGACAAAGGCTTCTATAGTCTTTTATTTACCATTGCCTGGAAAAACTATGCCACATATCTTGTTTATAAATGTCAGGGGGTCTGTTTGGCTTTGTTACACGGTAGGCCTCTGGGTATACTTCAAGAGAATAGCAGTCGGTGGAATGGAAACAGAGCTGGTAATATGAGGCCATGGTTTTTGACTGACGCCTGCCTGGCCTCTGGGAAAGCCCCCTCAGGTGTTAAGGCCAGTGGGGGCAGCCTTCCATGCTTTGCTGCTCACGCCATGCCCAGGGCCCTACCTCTGTCTGTGAGATTGTTATAGACCCCTCTGGTCTCAGGCACGTGAGGCCTGCAAGTCAGCCTCCTAATGGAGGACAGTCACTCGATGCTGCCCTGCTGCCCTGCCGCCCTGCCTGGGTCCTGCCCCAGATTGGTCCTTGTTCTCTTCATCAGGGGCTTTTCTGACTTTCCTCTCTTGCCTCTTTTAAGATCTGTGATGCCATCTCCAAGTGGGAACAGGCCCTGAAGGAGCTGCACTCTGGAAAGGCTGAGGGTGGCACACGTGTGGTGAAGCTGATGTACAAGAACAGGTCCTGAACACCACCTGAGGGTGGGGCCGAGACTGAGGGCTGCCACTGGGGCGCCACTTGCCACTCCCCCAGCTGGATGGCCTGTGCCGGACAGGCAGTGGATCCACAGATGGAACACTGTGTAGTGGTCATTAGTTGGGGCCCCAACTAATGAGGCTCTGCTGATCCTCTTGGAGAACCTGGACAGCTCAGGCTCTCAGTCCCTGTACCGCACGTATGTACACACACGTGCGCACGCGCGCATACTCCTGCCAAGGAAACAGACCAACCTTGTGGGATGGCTGCATGTGTTACATTAGGCGAGTGAAACTTTGTATGAGCACTATTTAAGGCTAAAGGATAAATAGCTCCTATAACAATTCCAGGAAATACAGAAGTAGATACCAGGATTTTTTTTTTTTATCCATCTGAATAAGAAAATCCCATCCCAGGTATGTCTCTAGGCAAATAATTTCCATTAGTCTCTTGGAATCTTTAACTCATCCAGTTCCCTAATAGGCTCTGGTTCCAGGGAGCAGATCCCCTCCCCTGATCCAGTAGCGTGGTGGTGTATTCAGGTGTAACATGTGCCACTGTTGCTGAGATCTAATGGCCCTGTATCTGCCCTGTGTCATGTTTAGTTTTTTCTGGAGGCAATAGAAAATAGGCTCACAGATGGTATAAAGAGAGTAGTTTCTTTCTTTGGAAATCAAGATAAACAGAGGCCAAGACAACCTCATCCATTCAGGATCCCAACTGAGTCTTGGCTTCTTCTGTCTTCCCTGTAGGCTGTACTTTCGGAGTCAAGTCAAAGGGGAGACGGAGCGGGAGCGGCTGCTGCTTGCCTCCCAGACTAGCGGGGAGATAGTGGCAGGGAGGTTTCCTGTCAACAAGGAGCTGGCTCTCGAGATGGCTGCCCTGATGGCCCAGGTAAGGCAGTTCAGGAATTGGCAGGATCAGGGTACCGTGTATGAACTCACACGAGGAACGTACCACACAGCCTAAAACAGGAGACTGCAGACCCTGTGGTGCCTGAGGGGAGGGTGGCCTCGCTGTCCCTGGCTGTGGAGGGAAGCTGACTCCTTACCCAGCAGAGCCCTTCGCTGCAGATACAGGTTACGGACAGAACACTGGACGTGGAATCCAAAGATTTGCCTTTGAGTGCTACCCGCCTTCCCACTGTGAGATTTTGGCCAGGTCACTGCAGTGGTCTGTGCTTTAGTTTCCTTGTCTGTGTAAACAAAAATGCGTCATTGCATTTCCTTCAGTATGCTACTGAAACGATGTATATCACATAATGGATGTGGCAAAATTTGTACTTACAACTGTAAAGCATTGTAAGTAGAATTAGGAAGGGGAACACGCATTCAGACTTCGACCCGTCTCCTTATTACCTTGAGGAGGCTATCTGGCCAAAGGTATCTGGGATGCCCTCCTGGTTCCCATGAGAAAGGGTCTGAATCTACATGGTGGAGAGGAAGGAGCAATAATAACAGTTGATCTTTATAATAATAAGCATTTACCCAATACTCTATAGAGGGTCCTCTGCTGAACAGTTTATATGTATTATCTCTGTTCTTAATTCCACTTAATAGATGAAGAAATTGAAGCCCAGAGAGTTTAAGCAGCTTGCTCAAAGTTACAAAGCTGGCAGATGGCAGAGCTGGGATTTGAGTGAGGTGTCTGATTCAAAGGCTTGGAACACTGCAATATTCTAGGAGCTATAGCATCTTCAGTTCTGGATCTCATATTTTTGGATTAGAAGCCAGAATATCCATAGTTTTCCTTTGCCACTAATTGTGTCTTTGGATAAGGCACTTAACCTCAGCTGCCAAAGGCAAGTGGATGTAAATAATCATCTAGGACCATAAGGTGGTTTCTCTAGTGTGTGTGAAACTTGAGACACAGGGTCTGTTCACAAGAAGTGTTTTCGCATCCATTCACACCCCACCAATAAAGTAATGAAGTAATGGTTTATTTCACCTCTCCAGCAGCCCCAGCCCCACCCCCACCCCATCCACCTCTGGATTCTTGACTGCTCACTCCATGTGCTTCCAACACAGGTAGAATATGGAGACTTAGAGAGGCCCACCCCACCAGGCCCTGGGAGCACACCCCCTGCCAAGCTTCAGCATCACCTCCAACAAGTCCTAGACAGGTTCTACCCAAGGCGCTACAGACACGGGGCACCCCCTGAACAGCTGAGGTAGGCTGCAAGGTCTTGGAGGGGGTTGCTGTGGGGAGGCATGGACTGTGGAGCCGGGTTAGACCTCCAGTTGCAATGAAAACATGTTGGCACTTCACGGCCACCATCTCTTTCCATCCATCCAAACCAGGCACCTGGCAGATCTGCTGACCACAAAGTGGACCGCACTGCAAGGCTGCTCCCCTCCTGAGTGCATCCGCATCTACCTGACAGTGGCCCGGAAATGGCCTTTCTTTGGTGCTAAGCTTTTTGCTGCTCAGGTAAGTGTGGGTGGTGTCCAGGGGAAGGAGTGATTACCACACCCTCAGGAACATGCCCTGAATTTCTCAAGCTACTGCCCACATCTGGTCACGTTTGAGTCAGTCCAGGCTCCAGGGCCCACCTGCACACTAGCAACCACCAGAGGTCGCTGTTTCTCCACCCATTTCTGGCTTTCTCTCAGATTTCCAGGGTCCAGAGCAGAGTTGTGATCACTGCTTTGGGGCCAGGATTATTTCTGGGTGATGTTCATCTTTCCTTTTTTGACTGCTT